GGCTGGGGGAGGGGGCAGGAGCTACAGCTGCTACCTCAGTCAGGTGAGGCCTGCATGTAGGCAGGGGGGTCGGGCTCAGCCCAGAACAGCTGCAGACTGGCATCTGACATCCAAGGGAGAGAGTGGGACAGGGCAGAGTAACTCAGTGGTGGCTTCTTTTTTTTTTATTTTTAAATATATTTTATTGATTTTTTACAGAGAGGAAGGGAGAGGGATAGAGAGTTTGAAACATCGATGAGAGAGAATCATCGATCAGCTGCCTCCTGCACACCTCCCACTGGGGATATGCCCGCAACCAAGGTACATGCCCTTGACCGGAATCGAACCCGGGACCCCTCAGTCCGCAGGCCGACGCTCTATCCACTGAGCCAAACCGGTCAGGGCTCAGTGGTGGCTTCTTCAAGAAAGACAGCCTTGCCCGGCTGGTGTTGCTCAGTGGTTAAGCACTGACCTATGAACCAGGAGGTCACAGTTTGATTCCCGGTCAGAGCACATGCCCAGGTTGTGGGCTCAATCCCCAGTGTGGGGTGTGCAGGAGGCAGCGGTCAATGATTCTCTCTCATCATTGATGTTTCTATCTCTCTCTCCCTCTTCCTTCCTCTCTGGAATCAATAAAAATATATTTAAAAAGAAAAAAAAAGAAAGACAGCCTTCTCCAGGCAGGGGCTTGGCAGGTTGCAGGTGCCTGCCAGCTCCTAGCACATGCCAGACTCCTGGTTCCTCGGTCTAGTGAAACTCCTGTGGTTTCTGCCTGGGAGGGAGAGGGGCTGGCCTTGGCTCAGTTACCAGGATGCTCAGAGAAGGCGCCAGCCATGACCCGACCTGAAGCCTGGAGCTGTGGGGGTTCTGGGGCGAGGACCAGAGCCCTTCCCCAGGGGAGGGAGGTTCTGGACACAGGGTGCAGGCCAGGCCCAGGAGTCTCAGAGGCTGGTCTCGGAGAGCGTGGACAATTGTCCCCAAGCCTCCTGGCAAATGCACTGGCTGCTGAAGCCATTCAACTCTTTGGGCCTAGATCTGGCCAAACTTGGCGCAACTCCAAGGAACAGTCTGTACCCCAAAGCCAATCCCAGGAGCAGGGACAAGCCCCCTGTCTCTAGCCCTCCATCTACCTCGGTTTCCACGTTGGGCCCCCTAAACCTTCCAGTCTCTTCCAGCAACAGCCAACCCCAAATTCTCCCCCAGAGAGAGGCTGCAGGTCACTCTCAGAATCTCTAGCTCCGTGGTCAGCAAACTGGGGCTCTTGAGCCACATGCGGCTCTTTGGCCCCTTGAGTGTGGCTCTTCCACAAAATACCACGTGCAGTCTACACGTACAGTGCGATTGAAACTTTGTGGCCCATGCACAGAAGTCGGTATTTTGTGGAAGAGCCACACTCAAGGGGCCAAAGAGCCGCATGTGGCTCAAGAGCCCCAGTTTGCTGACCACTAGCTAATGCCACCAAACGCTGAGGGCCATGGTCTGTGACCCCTGTCTGGCCCTGGGAGAGGAGGGGGTGATAGAGGAGCAGAAGCAAAGGAAGGAGAGAAGGAAGCCCTGCAGACCGCAGGTCCCAGGACCTATCGCCTGGCCATCTAAGATGACACTTGATCATGCATGGCCACCAAATTCCCACGTGGTCAGTAATCGCTTCCTGTGCCGCCATGCCTTTCCTAAGTGCAGCGGTTCTCAACCTGTGGGTCTCGACCCCTTTGGGGGTCAAATGACCCTTTCACAGGGGTCGCCTAAGACCATCGGAAAACACATATATAATTACATATTGTTTTTGTGATTAATCACTATGCTTTAATTATGTTCAATTTGTCACAATGAAAGGGGGGGTCACCACCACATGAGGAACTGTATTAAAGGGTCGCGGCATTAGGAAGGTTGAGAACCACTGCCTTAGCGGATTAAAAACGGCTCCAGGGCGGGTCTGTGACTGCCATCCTTTAGCTCTCCGCTCCAGAGAGTGGCAGGTGGGCCAAGACTCTCTTCACTGGGTACCTGGCTCACAGGCTGAGGGGCAAGCCCCACCGGCAGAAGCCCCCTGAGTGCCTGTCCCTATGAATGGGGTGGGGGGCAGCTGGACCGGGCATGGGCTGGGCTCCCACTCCACCTCCTGCCAGGACCCGGCTCCCTGCTGCTTTCCGAGGAGCAAGGGAAGAGCAGGTGGGGAACTGGCGGAGAGGTGTAACTTGAGCCGGGAGGAATTCCCTGCCCTTCCTCCAAGCTTTTATTAAAGTCGGGCGGGGAGAGGCAGACTTCCATCGGAAAATCTCCCAGGCAGCAGGGAGATGTGGGGAAGCCGCTGGGGGCTGGGAGAACCGGCGCTCAGCCCGGCAGCGGGAGGCTTCAGGCCGGCTCAAGGGCACCGAGGCCCGAGCCTACCCGGCGAGCGCAGAGGCGGTCTTCCCCTGCCGTCCACTCTCCCTTCCTAGTCCCCGCAGGGAACCGGATCTTAGAAGTCGGGCCCTAGCCGGTTTGGCTCAGTGGATAGAGCGACGACCTGCGAACTGAAAGGTCCCAGGTTCGATTCCTGTCAAGGGCACATGCCCGGGTTGTGGGCTCGATCCCCAGTGGGGGACTTGCAGGAGGCAGCCGATCCATGATTCTCTCTCATCATGGATGTTTCTATCTCTCTCTCCCTCTTTGAAATCAATATATATATATAAAGAAGTCGGGAAAGAGTGGACCCCACTTTTAATTTGGGGCAATGGAGCTGGTGCCCTCACTATCCTGCCCCGAAGGATGGCGCTGGGCGACTCCATGGAGCCGCTGGCACCGGGAGGCCGCACCTGATCACCCACGGGACCGACCCAGAGTGGGGGCCCCGTCCGGACGTCAGACGGGCTCCGGTGAAAAGACGTGCGGAGCCCGTCCTCTGCGCAAAGGGGCCTCGGCGCGGAAACTCCTGTGGCTCGGAAGCGCCGGGTTTCTCTCTCGGACTCAACCTGGCCGTGGCGCGGCTTCGGTCCAAGAGCCCAAGAAAGTCGCCAAAGCGCCCCCTCCACCTGAGTCTGCGGCCTCGGAGGTTCGCATCCCCTTCCCCATCCCGGCCCCCGCGAGTGCCTCAGTGTCCCCCAGACTAGATGCTTTCTAGGCGGGGACGCGGGGGCGCCGCCTGCTCAGCCCGTGCTCCCCACAAGGGCAGCCCCCACCCCACTCGTAAAAAACGTCTCGCCGCCCGCAGGGCTCTCGAGGAATCGGACGCCAGGAGGGAGGGAAGGAAGGAGGGGAGCAAGGGCTGGGGGCGTCAGGAGCGGTTCCCGGACCCGGGCCCGGGCGGATCAGCGCCCAGGGCAGGGGAGTGGTAGGGAAGGGAGGCAAGCCCTACGCCCCCAGGGTTTGGGAAGAGGTGCACTGCACAGGGAGAGCTGGGGAGGGCCAGCGTGCCTGGCCCCTTTCTGCCCCCCACCCATCCCTAGGGACTGGGGGCTCGTCTCCTCGCCTTCTACCTCCCGGCCGCAGCCTGCGGGCGTGGCTCCTTCCCTGCCCCCCAAGTCTCCCAGCCCCCGGCGAAGTGCGGGCGGGGGTCCTTACCTCGGCATTGACTTCTGCGTCCTCCGCTGCGCCGGGGCCC